CCTGCTTTTAAATAGGGCTTGTGCATGCAAAGTAAGCCAAGAGAATTGTCGTAAAACGTTGGGGTCTGGAAGTCCCCTTCATCCCACCCTCCTTTTCTTATTGACAGGCTGGAGTTTTGCTGTAAAATAGCCCATCTGTCTATATTAGCGTGTCCAAAGATGCAAAAAGTGTAACTCCTTGTCTGAAACATTCCTGTCTCAGTTTTTCTGTACGTAACTCATTTCCATTAATCTGGAGAAACTCTTCTGATCTTGTACCTTGTGGGAGATGAAATGTCAGCTGGTTTCTTCTGTTTTATTTTTCTCTTCTCCTAACAAAGAAAGTCATCTGGGAAGAGGAGAAGACTGGTTCTCAGGGTGCCAAAAGTTCTTTTCTTTTATTGACTGTATTCTCTCTGATGGACAGCTCATTGCCTGAGAAAAACCAGCAGCTCAGACTAATGGCTATGGATGTGAGTCACACATTTTCCGTGTTAAAAACTACCTTTGGCAGGAAACTTTCTACGCAAAATGTATAAGGTTCTTTTGATATTTAAAAAGGTTAGAGGCCAACATTGTAAATGATTGAAAATCATTGTTTTGCACATTCGTTAGTTATGGAAATGTTGTGTTCAGCAATATCATGGATTTATGACATGGTAGAGTGTGTATAAATCCATAAATATGTACCTTTTCAATAGATAATACAGACTTTTAAGTAATTCTTATGACATTCAACATTCAAAAATATGCAAAACACAGAGTCTCTTCAAAGTTTTAATACTTTAGAGAAAAGGAATATTTGAATATAAATGGAAATTGTCTGACTCCATACAGCAAAGCTGGATTTCTGGAAACAGACTTTTTCCATGCATATTCTTTTCCATCTTCCCCAGTTTCCTCACTTTTCCCCATAAATGTATATTCTGGCAGTAAAGATGGAAGAACGGTTTCATCTGGGATCTAGGTGGGCATCGAAAACATTGATCCCTTTGCTCACTGATCTTTTCACGTTAGCACAGGAATCGTTTTCATGGTTTTGCTCGTCTTCAGCGATGACATACTGATTAAGGTGCCTTTGGTTCCTGCTTCCTTCTTCCTTGGGGGTGGGGGCGTTTAAAGGTGAGAGGGAGCAAGGGGAACAAGTTTCCGTGATCCTGATGCTGCACTGTAATAACCTGTAAAGATCACTTCTGTCAGATCCCCAGGAGTTGCCTATGCCTAAGACTGTGACCTTGCATTGAGCACTTTGGGTGGCTTTGTAGGTAGCGTGCAAACGTACGCATGTTGTTTCTGAAAACCTGGACCTGAAAGTCCTCTTCTCTTCTGCAAGCTGGTCTGAGTTGATTCACCCCTGTGCCTACATGGGGTCCCATGCATTTCAGTGTCCTCCTATGTGGAATAACTTGCACGAGAAGTTGCTGTCTCTAAAAGGCTCATTATATCTGCATATTGGTAAGGTGTCGCAAATCGTAAATTCCTTTGTCTTTCAGAGAAATGACTACTCAGGCTTGACAAAATCAACCTTGAGTAAATGGCACCTCATTGTGAATGCAACACCTTGCCTCATCGGCAACGTACATAAGGTTGCTCTCTTGGGTCCCCGTAAAATACTGATCACAGTCCGTATTCTTGAGGTTGTGAATGGGTAGAACTGAGGCTACTGAGAGGACTGCATCATCCTCCAGTCATGGTCTATCCCCAACAGCTTCACATCGAGAATACTAATACTGGGCTACGTTAGTAGGACTATTGCCAGCCGAGTGAGGGAAGTGATTATTCCCTGCTATTTGGCACCAGCGAGGTCACAACTAGAGTCCTGTGTCCAGTTTAGGGCCCCCAGTATGGAAAGGATGTGGGCAAATTGGAGAGAGTCCAGCGGAGGGTAATGAAAATTGGGGGCTGGGGGACATGGCTTAGGAGGAGAGGCTAAGGGATACTGGGCTTATTTAGTCTGCAGAAGAGAAGCCTGAGAGGGGATTTGACAGAAGCCTGAAAGGTGGTTGCAAAGAGGATGGAGTCCCGGTGGTGGCAGATGACAGGACAAGGCGTAATGTTGCAGCAAGGGAAGTTTAGGTTATTAGGAAAAACGTTTTCACAAGAGGGTAGTAAAGCACTGGAACAGGTTACCCAGAGAGACTGAGGTATTACTCACCAGCCAAATGATGCTGGTATAAGGTAGTTGCAGAAAACCAAGGCAGATATCACCAGTATTTCGTAGCGTGAGATAGGCAGGTGTTTACAGTTCTGCTGAGACCAGATGTAGCCTTCCCACTCAAATAAACAGCTCTTGAAGGGTTTAATTAAAATCTTGGGCTGTGGATTAGTAGTACTCTGCTAAGCATTTCCGAATAGGGACTTTTTAGCAGTTTTTGCCATTATACTTAATGTGGTCCTCAGGTTCCTGCGATCTGACTGCAGTCTCTAGGAATCCCTTCCATTTGGTAGCTGTGTAATCCCAAAAGGCGAGCAACGTGTGCGCACTTTGACAGTTCTGTGGCTTGCTTATAAAGACTTAAATTATGGTAGTATTTGTATATTCTGTCTGCATTGGCCTGAGAGTTCTCCGGGGGTGTATAACAGGAGCATTTACAAGAAGTGGTAGTGCCTTACGAAACTTGATCTTTCTGCTTATCTCCTCTATTATGTCTACTAATGCTCCAGTTAACCCACTGGGGCAAATTAATGCATAGTGCAAGACTGCTGATTTCCTGTGCTTTTATATTTGGCCTAGTACCTCCACACTAATATGAAACAGTTTTAAGCCTAGTTTGGTGCCACTGCAGAAGGGCCCCCGGGTAAGAGAAAAATGAGTGTGTTGGAAAGCCAAGTTCACCTGAATGAATACTGCAGTATCTGATGTGCCCCTTAACATCTGGTGTTAGTGGCTTACACTGGGGTCTTTCCTCATTTTTAAGTTGGTTTAAGTTAACTAAATACCATCAGACATGCTTTAAAATTAATTCCTTTATGAAGGGAAAAGGCTGGGTTTTTTTTTGCCTATTTTCTGTCAGTTCCCAGTTATAAGACTTTTTTTTTTTTTTTTTTTTTTTTGAGAATAGCTATAATATGAGCAAAAGCCTGAGGACTCCATGAATGGAAGCTTTAATTTTATTGCATTTATCTCTTTAGCTGCAATTAATTATTCAGAGTATTCATTAATAATTAAACTTTTGTAAGTAACATTTTAAACGTACATTCAGAATATATTGCAAAAGTGGCAGTTGCTGTTAAAGAGCAGAGGGTTTAAAAGCAAATATAAAATTTCTTGAAAGTCAGTTGTATGCAATACCCGTAAAATGGGGATAGAAAGATAGCCAAGTCCTAATCGCTAGAAGTGAGCGCATCTAACAAGGTGGGACAACTCCTAGTGTTGGTAACTTACAGTTTCATCAAAAATCTCATAATTTGACATGAGCTACAATCAAAAGAGTGTGATAGCTGAGATGCTTTAATTTTTTTGATTAGTTGCTAATTTTTAATAAGCATCTACACAGATGTGGGCAAAATATTAAGTGCACTGTAAATGCTCAGGCATCAGAAAGGAAATAAAAATAAAAAGCTCACTATTTCTTCCTCCTTTCCATGATTTTAGGCTGGTCCCACAATCTTTTGGAGCCCGACTCTTGATTTATTATTTCTTTTTTTAATTTTATGTATTTACATTTGCGATTGTTGAACTTCAAACCTGCACACACCAAGCCCAGCACAGTCTGTGCTCATCTACAGTTAGGCAAAATTCCTCTGGAATATCTACTACTCACTGGATTTCAAATCTGACAGATGGTTGGCAATTTATAATGAAACCCATTTGTTGTAGGCAACATAGACCGTTACTGCGCATTGGAAGGGTAGACTAGAACCTTGTTCTTTTAGCTCCCAAAGTACCGGCTTCCACTGCTAGATGCAAAATAGAGCTTTTTATATATAGATATATCTATAGATATAGATACACACACACACATATGTGCGTGCAAGCAGTTGTCATCAAACGTGTTTACTTGTGTCTGTGACTCAAGTACATGCCCAAGAATGAAGTTAAGAAAAATAAAATGACCGTCAGTGATGTTTTTAGATGTTGATCAAGAAAAACAACAGAGATATATTTAGCATGTGAAATGATGAGAAATTAGCTAATCCTCTCATCACTACAAAATGGACAATATGGAAGAAAATGTGTGTAACTGAGTTTATTTTTGAGTACAAAGAAAATATTTAAAATTATCCCACACTGAAAAGATGCTGTAGTGTCATGAAGAAGAACAGAAGGATGATCTCTGAAAACAAAGTGATAAACTATATGCTAAATAAAATTATTTTACTTTATTTATTTAAAATGTTATGCGTTTCACTTTATCCACGGATTCTGTTTGTAAAATTTTTTTTCACCTTAAATGCTGTTACGTAATGGTCTAGTCTTATTGGGAACTGAAAGTCAGTGTCTTTCCCTGTTTTACACCTAAGTTTAAAAAAAAAGGATTTGTTAAAACATTAGGTACTGTTTCAATTAAGCCCATCATCCCAATTTTTAGCAAAAAACTTTTTCCATCTCTTTTCTTTGGGGACATACCCATAAAAAAATACATACTTTTCCTTGTTAATTGTTCATAATACCGACAACATGTTCACTCTTACCAAAAAACCACAATTTTTTGTAAAGCAGAAATTTGAAGTCTTTTTGGAACAGAGGTTTACAGACTTCCTCCTGCCTGCCTCCAGTTGATAAATTCTTCATCATCCTGCCAGGGGTCATAGACTGTTACATAATTCCAACGAAGGAGTCGGTTTCCAGAAAGAATGACGAGTTCCTGGAATGGTACAGCTATCAAATAGGATGGATTACAAAGTGTTGCATTTGCACCCTAGCAAATAGCTGTGACGTTAACGGTTGTGGGGAGCAAACCCCAGTTGGCCTTTTTAGAACGAGAGCGTTGTAAAATGTCAATGCTGAGGTTAATGTTTTATTAAAAAGGTTTGCTCCTTTACATTGCATTTTTGTCCTTTCTGATTTTGTTTTGTAGTGTTGTTCCCCAGACCACAGTAATACTGAACAACGATCGGCAGAATTCAATTGTAGCCAAGATGGTGGGGCAGGAAGAGCCACTGAGCAGAACAGCGGATTCTCTGGAAAATATCCTTAGCAAGTTAGTAGCGACTACTATAATCCTTCCCCATCCTGTATTAGCTCTATCGTGAAAGCAGTAAATGTCAGTGTGCTGCAATTACAAGTGCAAAATGACGGTTCTTTCTAGCGGAGGGGAAAAGTATTCTAGTGCTGATGAAAAGTGCGAGGTCGAGAGTGCTGCATAGTGAAGTCTGCTATCAGCAGAAGAGGTACAGCACTGTATCTCAATGCTGGCAAGGAGGGAGCGCCTCTGAGCAGGAGGGATTAGTTCAGTCTCTGGCCTGTTGAATTATTCATATTATTAGAGCTTGTGGAGAAGGCTGCTCATTGTGTGACAGGCTTCTGTGATGTGGATCCCTGTTCACCTGCACCGTACTAAGACTCCCCAGTTCCTTGAACAAAAGTTGCTCACTAGCTATGTGATGCCTGTACCTTGTATTGTGTCTGGAGTATATTTCAACAAGTTACCTGGAAGCAATAGCTCCACAGAGAATAATATTTCAAATAAACAGGCGTAGAAATAAAACAATAAGATTTAGAAATCACTTTGTTCTTACCAGTTACATATTATGCATTCACGTTTCATTGATACAGTTTAAAAAAAACAAACCCGTTCTCTTCCAAGTAGGTCACCTTAGATAGTAACCGCATAGTGTGTGCTTTTATACAGATCCTGATCTTTGCAAAATGTTTTTATCTAATAATGCATGTGATTTTTAGATCTGCCAGTCAGGTTCTATAGATTTTTGTTCATGCAGTTTGCTGGTAATGTATGCAAACAGATTTATTTTAGAAAAGTGGTGCTACTGTTAACACGTCTAATATCTTTAAAGGGTATTGTCTCTCTCCCGGTACTTGCTTTGCTCATTTTTTGAATCTAGGGGAGTCAAATGTTTTCTATTAATCTTTCATGCCTAGCATTTGACTGGACTATACATTTTCCTTAATATACTAGCCAAGAACAGTGTGGGGGGGAGGGGAATTAATTTGGCCAATTTATTTTTTTCATCATACTGTGTTCAATTTTCCATTGATTGTCCTTCATCTGAATCAGAAGCAAATGGTTTAGTTTTTACTTAATCTCCTCCAGCGAGTCATATTTTGACGTTTTCTAAAGAAGAAACAACATTCTTGTGCATAGCTTTCTGTGCATTAATTTCTGTTAATATCAAAAGGATTTTGGATTAATTTAATTTGCACAATTGTAATATGTACTTGACTAAGTTCATGTAAAACATCTGCCGTTACGATGCATGCAAGAGAAATGGTGGTTCCATCTTGAGTTATTCAACTGTTGCAGATTTTTAAGCTGGATATCTCTTCATTAAGGCAGGACTAGGTTTGTAAGAGGACCCACATAATGAATTAGAAGTCAGAGTTAATGTTTTAATCACCTAGTGGGTGAAACATTACGTTTTTCAAGTCTAGAATCCTGCTTTTCCCAAAGTATGTGAATTCTTCATTTTTTTTCTCAGTGCTGTTCCCGGACGTAGACAAAACACCATCGTGGTGAAGGTCCCAGGGCACGATGACAGCCACAATGAAGATGGGGAGAGCGGCTCTGAGGCCAGTGATTCAGTTTCCAACAGTGGCCAGATAGGAAGCCAAAGTATTGGGAACAATGTTACCCTTATTACCTTGAACTCTGAAGGTATGCTGATCAAAACGTAAGGCCATTTGAGCACAAGGAACAGGAGCTAAAATTCTAGTGTAAGCTGTAAAACCCATGTTTCCAGTCCATCGTGTAAAGACAGTTTAGGAAATCTGGAAGTGTTAGACAGAGTAGTAAGCATTAGATAAGACTGATGACAGGCTGGAGAGATCCAAACTTTTTTCATTCCGTCTTGCCTATTTTTTGCTAATGTTTCCAGGCAGAAGAACAAATTAAGTTTATTTGTAATATTTCAGCGTTGCTGAGCGTAACCCCCTGATTTAACACTCTGCAGCAGTGCAAGGACACTCAGTGTTTATACACTTTTTATAAATACAAAGAGTGGCAAATGAATTACTAGATGCTTTGGCTCCACCTCGAAGTGGAACTGTAGTTCCAGAAAAATAGCTGTGTTCTGTGGGAAGTAACACAGACTGTACCAGTGGAGCTCCTCCTGCAACTTATTATGCCATTCCCCTGATATGGAATTTTTATGAAAGTAAACAGTTATTTTGGCAATTCTAAACAGTTTTTAACAGGAAATTCCGATAAAAATGTATTGTTTATAGAATAGCCCTGTCTGCAGTTTCACAGTTTCTGGAAACCTCTGCCTCACAACCTATATCTTTGCAAATCAAAGTTGGTGGAAAGTACATTCTGAAATATGTATTTTAGGGATATTCTGTTGTATGCACTTAGGGTATTAAAATACATGATTGCTAGCTGCTGTGTTTTATTTAATCACCAATGTGATGGAAAAATACAGAACACAATTTAGCAGACACATGTTTTAGGTGAAAAGTATTATGTAAGCAAACAACAGGCTATCACAATACAGTATGGGATTTTTATGATTGGTTTGATGGATGGCATCACTAATTTTTAAACAGAGGCCTGTAATTTGAACTTTAGACTACACAGCTTTTAAATTAGGTTAGTTAGCCACTAACTTTTTCTTTATTGCATTCATAAACAAACCATTCTGTATGTTTATTCTCCGTATGGTAGTCTGTGCTTACATTCATGCACCGCCGGTGAATATATTATGTCAGAAAATTGCAACCAAGGTTGTATATGCATTCTTTGATTTTTGCATTTGGAAGCAAATTGGCTGAACCTTTGCATCCCTGAGAGTAGAACAGGAGTGAAATGTAGGAGTGTAAACTTCAGTTTTGTTATATTTTCTTTTCATAATCCATGCTTCTTCAGCATGGTCTCCAGACTCAGAAGGCCAAGTGTGTTGGTTACCATCTGGGAGTGATAATTAATATTTAGAATTAGTTCAAGACATCTTGAAACTGAGCGCTTCTACTTATTTTCAGAGTGACCTAGACAAATGGGAGAATTGGGCCAAAAGAAATCTCATGAGGTTCAACAAGGACAAGTGCAAAGCCCTGCACTTAGGATGGAACAGTCCCATGCACCGGTGCAGGCTGGGGGCTGACTGGCTGGGCAGCAGCTCTGCAGAAAAGGACCGGGGGGTGACAGGGGACAAGAAGCTGAATATGAGCCAGCGGTGTGCCCTTAGTGCCAAGAAGGCTAACGGCATCCTCAGGTTACATTGACAATAGGCTGGATAGGAGCCAGCAGTATGCCCTTGTTGCCAAGAAGGCTAACGGCATTCTGGGCTGCACTGGTAGGTGTGTTGCCAGCACTTCAAGGGAAGTGATTAGTCTCCTCTATTCTGCACTGGTGAGGCCACATCTGGAGTCCTGGGTCCAGTTTTGGGGCCCCCCCACATTTTTTCACTAGAAGGATAGTAAAGCACTGAAACAGGTTACCCAGAGAGGTGGTGGGATCTCAGTTCTTGGAGGTTTTGAAGATCTGGCTAGACAAAGCCTTGTCTGGGATGATGTAGTTGGGGCTGGTCCTGCTTTGAGCAGGGGGTTGGACTAGATGTGACCTCCTGAGGTCCTTTCAACCCTCATTTTCTATGATTTTAGAGTGTGAATCCAATAATTTTAAAGGTGACCAGTGGTTTCGGACACCTTGGTTTTACATACCTGATGTGTAGCAGGTTTCAGAAAATTTGGAGCGTTTACCCACTGAAAAACGCATTCTTCTAATGTGTCTTTAACTGAGCACCCACAGTCAGTCTTGGAGAACAGTACCCAACGTATGTGGGGCAGGAACTGTGCCTCTTTTCGGAGTGCATAGAGAATGGTCGCAACCAGAAATATGTAATCATGGTTTTGACTCCTTTCTCATGGAGAACTTTTTCATTTTTCACGCCTGACGTGCACCTTGTGACAAAATCTGTTTGCAGAGATTAGCCAATATTAGGGAAATGAGGAGAGAGTAGATTTCTAATAGAAATTTCTAACAATAGGTATGTTGTGGCTAATAATAGCATTGCCATTTGGGGGAAAAATGGCTCCACAGCAGCAGACTTAAAATGCTCTGTATTTGCCATTGTTTGTGGCAATTCATTTTATGCGTGTCTAGCAAGTGGGCTTCATTATTTTGGTATCTATCATTAGACAAATAATCCCTCAGATACTTATATCCATTTCTTAGTGCCTCTCAATCTAAGGAAATGTCTTCAGGTTTAGACTGAGCTGTCCACTTCCTTGTGGTCTGGGAATAGCATGAAGCATAAATGCTGTGTCTTCCTCTGTGCTCAAGTGTCAGCCAACATGATGTTCTTATTCACCAAAGGTGTTGAGCACTTTAGTTATACAGTTTATGTGCTGAATACCCATGCCCTTGGCTGGTAAAACCCAGGAGTAAGGATGCTCCATCAGTAGTTCGATCATATATGCATGCTTGTTAACAACAAATGGGAATGTCAGGGATCCGGTCAGCTCGCTGCCTGCACTAGCTGATCCGAAAAAAGCAAGGGTCGGGGTTGTGTTTTCTGTTTGCTCCTAGTTAAGGATTCTGTGACTTTTGTATGGACTGTGTGACTGTTGTAATTGTCTTTATCACTTTGGTACCAACATTGTGAAATATGTGGTACATGGAGCTGCCTCTTAAATGTGTCCAGAAAATGAAGCTGGTGCAGGATTTTGCAGTTCACTCCCAGCCTCCTTTACAGTGGGCATTTTACACCAGTGCCCTGTAATTTGCAGTGACTGCCAATTGAATAGTTTTACCTTTTGCCTATGTAAGAGGCTTGGTCCATGTTTTTGGCATGTACAGAAACTCCCTTAGCAAGGCAGGCAAGGCATTTTCAATGAGGGCCCTTTGACTTTGGGATTAATTCTTTTTCTTTCTCTCCACTTTTGCACACATTGGCTGACACGTAGATTATGCTGCAAACCATATGCATTCTCCCTGCCTATTGGAGAGCAAGGAGAATGAGGAGTAAGGGGATTTGTCATTCTTTTTATCATGCTAGTATGGATCAAAGTGGGTCAGGGTGCAATGAATGGAAATGTAAATTTTAAGAATGGCATGTCTCAGTATTGTCGAGAGGACCCAGTATATCTGCACTAAACTTTCTTTCTTCTTTTTCTTGAAGTGGGAACTGAAATGAGAAATCTAACTACGTTTTTTTGAACGTCCAGTTTAGTGTTGTACATTTTGCTCTTGAAAATTCCTTTGCGAAACTCTAACATACACACCCAAGTCGTTTCTGAGATTAGAATTGAGGTTGTTGTCACAAAAGACAGAATTTGTAACAACGTAGTGCATGTATAGTTAAATATTTCCGGCAGCAAAGAGCATTCAGTAACTCTTCTAAACTTTTCCCAGCTGGTGTTAAAATACTGTGTGATACAGGGATCATGTGCTTTCAGGGAAGAAACCTTTACTTTGAATAATCTTAAATTGTACTGAACTTGTGCTGATTTGACAGTTGTTCAGGCTTTCAAGTTGGTTTTAATTTCCCTGATCTTAGGGCTTTATCCTCTAAGGGAATCTACTTACACTAGAAACTGATGATGCTCAGCCTTTTGGACAAACAGTCTCTTAATTCTTTGCACCTTTGGCAAAACCAGATTCGGATGTAAGAATAACCCCCGTTATTTTTTTTACCAGCCAGTTTAGACCAAAGGGTTTATTTATTACAGTTTTATACATTCTAGTTATTTTTTTTACCAGCCAGTTTAGACTAAAGGGTTTATTTATTACAGTTTTATACATTCCTGCATCAGTTATTTATTCCAGGGATGACGTGTCTAATGCTAAGAAAATGTTTGTCATACTTTGCCCTTTTTGACATGGTTGTTTGGCACAGATTTGCAGAGAGACAGATGTTGGCCTTTTATGCAATTGTCGTATATGTAAATGTTGGAGAAAGAGCTAATCCATTAATGTCTTTGGATCTGATTTACTTTGGACCTTTGGTGGACTCATCCATTACAAATCTCCTTGAGATTTATGAATGCTCTGAGAATCGGATTAGCAATCCCCCCAGACCCCACCTTCCCTTGCCCTGCAAAGATAAGAGAAGGTTTTGCTCAGCTGGAGGGAATGCTAAGCATACTAGTCCAGAGTATGGCACAGAAATTAAATTATTAATTAAGGAAAGTGCTGCAGAATGATCGCTCTATCTTTCAGAATCATTTCCTTTTACAAATGAAGGTACAAGTCATAGCACCCTTCAGTATAAAAAGGCGGGTGGTTAAAGTGGTTCAGAGGCTTCGTAAATGGTCGTGAAATAGATGCTGTTTCTCGAGGGGTCAAAATGGTACGGAATAAGCAAGACGGGACAGTGGGAACACCGATTAGCTGGTCTAGTTTTTGCGCCACTAAAAATAAACATTGTTTGAATCAGTTTGTGAAACTGTGGTCACAGCCAAAAGATTGTCCCAGTCCTGCAATATGTTTTAAGTGGATGGATTTCTGCAGAGCTTTGCAGTCTTTCGCACTTGGCGGTTTCTTATTTAGATGCCTTTGCGCGATTGGCATCCATGTTCGAATGTTTATTTTTACTTGTCAACTGATATAGAAGTCATGTATTAGCCATGCTTTAGTCCTTGTGCACTATTAGACTAATTGTTTTTTTTAGCATGACTTCACCATTCCTTTTTCTGTCCAGAGAGGCAGGAATAAAC